CCTCAACCCACAGATGTGCAGAGGTATTGCAGATGTCTTCATGGTCCATCAGCAGCAGCTAAAGGTGAGAAACCGTGTCACACGTCCATCTGTCTGTCTGACACTTTCTTTGTGAATAACGCCAAATGACAATTCGAACCAAACTGTCGCACCACTTGGATAGGGGCCAAACAGCCCGTAACAACGAACCCCCAATCCCATACTCACGGAGCACCCCCCACAGTGTACCCTGAGGAACATGGTAGAATGCTTTCTTCAAGTCCACAAAACACATGTAGACTGGATGGGCAAACTCCCATGACCTTACGAGGACCCTAATTAGGGTAAAGAGCTGATCCAGTGTTCCACGGTCAGGACAGAACCCACATTGTTCCTCCTAGAGCTGAGGTTCAACCATAGATAGGACTCACTTCTCCAGTTCCCCTGAATAGACCTTACCAGGAAGGCTAAGGAGAGTGATGCCCCTATAATTGGAGCATGTCTTCCTGTCCCCCTTTTGGAAGAGGGGAACCACCATCCCAGTCTGCCAATCCAGTGGCACTGCCCCTGATGTCCGCGTGACGTTGCAAAGATGTGTCAACCAAGACAGCCCCACAACATCCAGAGCCTTAAGGGAATCAGGGTGAATCTCATACACTCCTGGAGCCCTGCCACCTCAGAGATTTTTAACTACCTCAACAACCTCAGCCACGGTTATGGGCGGACCAACCCCAAAGTCCCCGGACTTGGGTTCCTCCATGGAAGACGTGCTGGTGGGATTGAGAAGGTCTGAGAAGTATTCCTTCCACATCCCGACTATATCTTTTTCTTTTTTTTTTCCTCCCTGGCTCTCATCGAGGTGGCTGCTTCTGTCAGCCCTCCCCCGTTTTTCCTTCTTCCTGCTCTGCTCTCTGTATGTCTGATGTGCCTGGTTCACATCTCCCGAACATAAATTAAGAAGATTATGGATTTGGTATCGTGGGCGTTCAACTCTATTGATAAGATTGTTTCATCAAAGCGACAAGGTCCTGGAGAATCAGCGTGTCCAGCTGAGACTCACGCTGTGGGGTAGATCATGGATTCGTGGGGAGTGTGGCAGTTGATGTGCCTCTTAGTTCTGTCTCAGGCCCTGTACACACGTAGCCGGATATCAGGAAAACCGAATAGTTTATCATGCGGTGTGGCCTTTCATCCACACGTGAACTCCGGTTGATGTAACTATAAACGAATAATAACAAAAACTCCGACCAAAGTGGAGATTTGAGAAATCTCCTCTTTCGGGTTTGCGTGTGGACTTTCGGAACCGGAGATATGCGCATTATGTCTGCGACAGATGGTGCAGCGCGGCGCTGACGTCACATGTGCGACAATTGTTTTTGTTTGCCCATTCATTCGGAGGGAAAATGACTGCGTTTAGGGAAGTACTAATTGTAACGCTGGTTCAGGCAATTTTTGCTTGCTTGTTTTTACAAGCACAACTGCTCCAACAGATGGAATTACAAAGGAGAAAAAG